ACTGGATGGAGGTTAGTAACTTATTACAGGTTAGGAACTGGTTGCAGTTTAGTAACTAGTAACTGGTTAGAGGTTATTAACTGGTCAGAGGTTAGGCACTGGTTGCAGGGTAGGAAATGGTTGGAGGTTAGTAACTAGTTGCAAGTTAGTAACTGGTAACTGTTTAGAGGTTATTAACTGGTTGGAGCTTATGTGTTGGTTGCAGGTTAGGAACTGGTTGGATGTTAGTAACTGGATGCAGGTTATAAACTGTTTGCAGTTTAGTAACTGTTAACTGGTTAGAGGTTATTAACTGGTTGGAGGTTAGTAACTGGTAACTGGTTAGAGGTTAGTAACTGGTTGGAGGTTAGTAACTGGTTGGAGGTTAGTAACTGGTAACTGGTTAGAGGTTAGTAACTGGTTGCAGGTTTGTAACTGATTGAAAGTTAGTAACTGGTTGGAGTTGGACCTTCTGGTGAATTCACTTCAGTATATTTCAGAATGTGTTTTCAGATGAGAACACGTGATCAGACTCCACACAGGAAGTGGTTATCAGTAATGCTTCTGATTTCATTCATTCATTTCTTTTCACTTTAACGCTCACACTCCTGGAGATGAACTCATGTCTTCAGATGAACTCATTGTTTGTTTTAGACGGTGACCGTTGGGTCATATGAGCTGGTAGATATGTTCACCTTCAACACCAAAGGTTTGACTCTGGATTGTAAAGCAGCGTGGTGCATTCAGTGCACAAAACACGTGGTGGGAAATTTCCAACACCTGATTGTAACATTTTTTTAAATGTTGTTTGACTGACAGCTTCTCGTTCTGTTCAGGGTCAGTGGCATTTCAACAATGTACGGTTTCACTTCATGTCAGCGCGGACATAAATGTAGACCACCAACAGTACCGCTCTGTGTTCAGGACACAAAAGTCCCACTGAGGTAAAACCCCAGACCAGCTCTGGGTCTGTTTACCCACAATGCTTTGGCTTCTTTGTAAAGTGCATCTCATAATTTCTGTGGGTGTTCTGGTTTACTTGCAGAGTTAGAGCTGGGAGTATTTTTAGCCCAGTAAAGAAATGATCTGAGTCAGGCTGAGAATACTGTCGACCGGTTTTCCTCAGTTTCCCAACCAAACGTGGCGTCTTTAACAAAACAAATTAAAAAGTTAATTATTCGTTTGTTTCGTTCTTTGCAACCCAACTACCTCGGAAATAGCAAAAAGTTGACTTTTCTAGTTTTCATTCATTTAAAATTTGAACTTAAATCATGACGTTACATGATTTTCTGTTTGATGTTTGTAAACTCTCAGAGAAGCTGCCGGGCGTCGGACGGTCCCTGAGAACAGGCCCGTATGTAAACAGTGTCAGGTCAGTCGGCTGTGGCGGCCATCTTGAACTGGGTTGCCTCACGAATCAATTGTAGATGAACACTGATGCACCTCTGAGTTTAATTAAAATCCCTCCAGTGGTTCTTGTGCAGCTGACAAAGCCACAAAGGTAAAAACATGATCGCCCCTGCTGTCAGTGGAGGACGATCATGATACGTCGGTCGGCCCAGAAAACCCAGACTGATCCGTGTTTCTGTCCCGGTTTGACAGGATGGACACTCCGTCCCGCTCGTCTCACAGGATCCTGCTGCTGCAGATGTGGTGCTGCCTCCTCACCTTGTCTCTGGTCGTCATGGCAACGCTTCTCATTTCCATCAAATCCAGACCGGTGCAGGTGAGCGTCCTGGACCTCCGCTGTTACTTGTTTGTGGTTATCTTTCTGCTTGTGTTTATTTATGAATAAATTGTTGTTAATTGTCTGAACTCTGCACAATGTGCTCCAAAATACCGGCAGAACGTTTGTTGACTGTTTTTAATCATGTTTACAAAAATAAACACTAATTACAGAAGGTTTGTGCTTTTAAATCCAGGTTAATAAACTTATTCCACTTGGCCTGAAGGATCGTTTTCATCTGTAAAGTTGTTACAAAAATAAATTTAAATATTATTTATCTCAAACGTCATGGCAAGCATCTTAGTTAAAGGAATAAATAAAACATTAATGATCTAAATACGAGTTCAGACGTTTTCAATCAGAGTTTTGAATCAGTTGCAGATTTAATTGTTTTATTACAGATGTTTGGTTGTTATGTAAAAAAATAAATAATTAAAAAGAGTCGAACCTGGAAATAAAAGTTTAGATCTGAACACTGAGTTTATGATGCCAGAAGGAATTTGACTCAGAAAACTAAAATAAACATGTTTTTTTACATTAATTATCAAATCACTGCTTGTTGGTTCACAAATAGAGTCAATTTTGAATTAATAAAACTATTTTTAACAAAAGCTCTAAAAGGTTTTTATAAAAACTCTTTATCAGAACATTCTGGAAAAACATTTTTGGGGGATATATTGTTTGTTGTATTTCTATTTTTATGTATATGAGCTGTTATCGTTTGCCTTTTTGTGTATTTTTTATGATCTTTTTCCTTTTTGACACGTTTTATTATCAACCTGTAAACTGCAACAGATTAAAAATTACGGTTAAAACCGTTTCGTTTACAGGGAAGGTCGTGTTCACTGATGTGCATTCACCTTTAAAAATAAATAAAAATATGAATACATTTTAACCAAAGACGTCCTAGAAACTCTCTGAGTTTAGTTAAAGGAGTTTCCTGGCCAGAAATAAAGTTTCTCCCAGTTGGACTGGAGGCTCAGTTTCAGCCACTCTGAGTAAATGTGACCCTCCTGCTGCCCTAGGGTCAAAGGCCTCAGATAATCTGGGGTCCGGGCAGCAGGAGGGTTGATGTGAAAACCTGGTTGTGTTAATTTTTGGCCTCTAGGGGGCAGCACCATCTAATTCTGCAGGTTCCTCAGGAACAAAAACACAAACGAGTTGAAACTGAATTCATCTCATTCACAAGTTTTATTTAAAAAAGTCAATTCCCTGAATTTAACTGTGATTAAAAGACAGAAAATCAACAAAATAAAGTTAAATTCTTCGAACTAACTGAACATTTCTGCAGAGGTTTCCATGTGATTGGGTCAAATTTATAATAAAAGTCTAAAGTTTAAAGATCCATAAGAACAACAATCACATAAAAGACAAACAGATTAAATAAATAAATAAATAAAACAAAGCTAATATTTAAGCTGTTTTTTTTAGTTTTGTTTCTTTTCATTCAACCTTTATCTATACAGGTTAGTCTCATTGAGCCTAGAGGACTCGTTTACAAGAGAAAAATAAATTCAAACTTTAAATTTAATTAAAATATGGTAGAAAATTGTATTTTTACTTTAGTACTGAGTATATTTCTGTACAGGGACATTAAAGTAAAACAAAATAACACTTTAAGCACGTTTTTTAATGTTATTTTAAAGGACGGTGTCCTCGCTGCAGTGCGAAGTGGAAGTGTCACTCCATCAGGTACTTAAAAAAATTATTTTGTTAAAGCTGACCTCAGATCATATTGTTTTTAAAATAACATTAAAACTGTAATAACTGAAGTAAATATTACTTATTTAACTTTTCTTTTTATCAGCTGAAGCTAATTTTACATCATTTAATTTTTATAAGTTGTATTTTTTCCCAATAACAAACACATTTAATTAGCTACTGTTATGAATTTGAAATGTTCGGAGAAGTGAAAAATGTGAATTTATATGTTTGTTTGTTTACAGAAACGTCTGCTTCATACATCGAACTGGTAACATGTAAGTTCACGCCATCTTTGATTTTACTCCATTTTGTATGTTGCTTTGTGCGTTGCCTGTTGTTCTGTCTGTACAGCACTTTGGTTGGCCTTGTTGCTGTTTTAAGTGCTCTATAAATAAAGTGGTATGGTATCTTCTGATTATCTTTTTAACAAATCTGTAAATGAACAGAAAGGGGCCGATGACTCGACCCTGAGGTTCGCCTTGAATCAGCTGGACTTCTAAAGATGTGAAATTATTAAAAGTTATTAAATATTAGAGTTGATAATTATAAAACATGACAGAATATAAATGATAAAACTATAACAAAGGCAGCTAAGAAGCACAATTGGAACATATACTCAATTGTTCATAAATCATTTTTCATTCAACCTTTATTTATGCAGGCTAGTCTCATCGAGCCACGAGGACTCATTTACAAGAGAGACCTGTAACCTTTGATTTATCACCTTTAAATTCTCATTTTTAATATTATTTGTATTTGTAAATAGTTTAATCCCAATAATCCGTTTATAATTTGATTAACAAGTAATGACAAATTAAGTTTACATTTTATTTTATTTAGACACTAAACTCACAAAACTTCTCTGTTCTGAAAAAACTTTATTTAATTTAAAAAAGAAAATATTATATATATAAAAAAAAAATCTAAATCAAAACAGTTTTGCTCCTTAGTAATTATCAAATGAAGGATTAGATGAAACAGTTTAACAATTGTTTATTAATTAGTTGACAAGGTAAATAAAAAACATGTCTTTAGTAACAAATAAGTAATATTCATTATTAGTAATTGTCTGTGAACTAAAGAGGCCTTTTGTCATTAATTAGCATGAACTAATCATTAATTATTCATTAAGTATTCAGTCACTTAAAAACAACCGTAGTAAATAATTAAGTTGTTTAAGATTAGTTTTTATTTGAGGTTTATTCATTTCATGTTTAAATAAAAGTTAAAAAAAAATTTTTGTTAATTATTAATTAACTATTAGTTCATAAAGTTGACCAATAAGATGGTTTCATTTTTTTCCTCTTCGCTCATTTTAAATTGACCTAAAAATAAAATTAATAAAACACTAAATATTGAATATTTACTTAAAAAGTATAAATATAATTTTGCTTTAGTGTTCGGGCGTCGTTTCTTTAACTGTTCTCTGTTTGAAAGAGGTCAAAACATGTTTTATTTTTTCATCCTAAAGTTTGTGCAGCAGAAGGAAATTGAAACGTGCAACACGTCTGAGCTGCAGTTTGACGCCTGTCATCACAGCTGACTGAAGCTCACGCCAAAACATTAAAAAACATCTCGTCTTCAGAGTTCAGGGGAGGAAAAACTCTGACGCCAAACTGGAAAACCTCGTCCCACATGATAAATAATTAATTTCGTTATCTGAGTGGCGGCGGATGAACGTGCAGAGTTACTGATCCAACGTTCGTTTCTGACCTCAGCTGAGGTTGATTTAATTATTGATTTAATTATTTATTCTAAACTTCCTTCCATCAAGTCTAAAGTGTTCGTTTTGACTTCCCCCGCCTTCAACGGCACGTCGGCCACAGTCAAGCCGTAAACCACAGCCCTGTCCCACCTCCTTCCTGGAGTGGGTTCTTCAAAAACCACGACCAGCCCGGAGCTGGGTCCTCCGACGTGGGCCGAGCAGACCTCCAGCCCGAGGACGATTGCTGACATGAAGGAGAAACATCTCAGCTTGTCTAAACGTTCACTGCTTAAACAGAGAGTTGTTGAAATACAACACATGGAGATATCATGGATTAGTAGTTTAAATAGAAACGTAAATGTTTTTTTCTTCATCCCAGTCTGTTTTTGTTTGTAACCAGTCACTCCAGAGCAGTGACATCATCACCAGCAGCCAGTTATGGTTCTGATTTTCAGTCAGAATGTGTCAGAAGTCCTCTGCCAAACTCCAGATCCAGCCTGATCTCTGGATGTGCGTCAACACCGGATTAAACCGATCATTCAAGATGGCTGCCACGGCTATTCAACCGGAACAACCTCAACTCGTCAGATTTACAGATGAATCAGAAACAGGGGGACTGTCCTCCCTAGGGTGAGGTTCTGCCTCAAGTGGAGGAGATGAAGTACCTCTGGTTTTTGTTCTCACTGAGGAATGGAACGTGAGATCAACAGAGGGACCGGTGCAGCTTCTGCAGTATTGTGGTCTCTGTGCTGGTCCATTATGGTGAAGAGGGAGCGGAGCTGCAAGGAGATGCTCTCTGTTTACTGTTGGTTTGCGTTCCTACCCTCACCAGTGGTCTTGAACTCTGAGTAGAGACTGAAAGAGTCCAAACGAGTTCTCTCTGCAGGGCAGCTGGACTCTCCGTTACGTATGGGATGAGAAGTTCAGTTCTTCAAGAGACTCGGAGTAGAACCACTGCTCCTCCACATCCAGAGGAGCCAGCTGAGGAGGTTCAGACATGTGGCAGGGCTGGACCCTGGAGACCTCCTTGGGGAGATTTTTAGGACATGTCCAACTAGAAGGAGACCCCAAAGAAGACCCAGGACATGTTGGAGAGTCATCTCCAACACATGCTCTGAGGACTAACAGGTTACTCGAGAACATAATTCTATTTTATATTTTAATGTTTTTCTTTCGGCTGCTCCCTGCTGCTGCGGTTGCCATGGCAATTTAACACAAAGGACAGATTTATGTAATTGTTTTGCACCGGGTGTCCTTCCTGAGACAACCTGGGCTCGAACCTGCGCCCTCAGGATTGTGAGACCACTACGCTGACCACTGATCCATGACAAGCATTCTGCTTTTTTGAGTCAATTTTTGTCAGAACTTCCTGTTTTTATCTAAAAATGGAATAACTAATCCTAAAGGTTACTTTCCGATCCTTTTGGAGTCCTCCTGGGTTCTGTATCTGGTCCTTCAGGTTCTGTTCACGTGTCTTTCCTCTGCTGGGACCAGTTTCTGTTTTGCTGAGTTAAACATGTTTTAGCTGCAGGAAATAAAATGAATGAAGTGTTGATCTCTTCCTGTAAATCCTGATTTGTTTGTTTTTCTCCGGCAGCTGTGGACGGCCCATCGTGGCAGGACCATCTGAGCTGCGACTCCTGTTCCCTCCTCCTGAGGAACAACTCCATCTACTGCAGCAGAACCGGGCCCGCTCCGTACTTCATCTACGCTCAGGTGGTCTTCATGAAGGGTGGTCAGGGCGGGTCTGTGAGGCTGAGCCGGACCTCGTCCTCCTTGGGGAGAGATCAGAAGCTGGTGGAGGCCTCGGCTCCTGCAGGAGGCTCGGTCATGGTGGTGAAGGTCATCAAGCTGAGAGGAGGAGACCGTGTCAGCTTGGAGGTCAGAGGAGAAGCTCAGAATGATGACACCTTCTGGGGAGCGTTCCAGCTTCACTGAGCCTGCACCCTGACTGGACTGAAACCTGTGACTGATCCAGCTTCCAGTCTGAACATCTTAAACCAGTTTGCTCCTCTTCCTGACAACAAGGAACACTAACTCCATCTCACATGTCCTAAAATCAGGTTCAAACCACGAGCTCTGAATTAAAGCTCACCATTTCAACGTCAAGGTTTTTGTTTATCTCAAGGAACAAGGTTTTCAGATTTGTTTCGGTGTTGAAGCCGAGTGTAATTTTTAAAAACGTCCCTCATCACTTCAGCTACTGTTTGTTTTTCACTGCTAAGTTATGTAATTTTATAAATTATTGTTTGGTTACATTGAAATTAAATAAACATTTTAACGAATTTAATTTGTGGTGCATTCTGCTGGTTGACCACAGGGTGGCGCCAGATTCCATCAAATCAGCTGAAATCCAGCCGACATTTGCTCCATCTCTCCGCAGGTTCAGGGGATGAAATTGATTGTAATAAAACATTTTTTTATATATATTTAAACTAAATTAAAACTATTCAAAGACATTTATCTGATGTTAGAGACTGAATGGAAGTGATTTACTCTGGAAAAATTATTCAAATCTCAAGAGTCAGCTGCTTTTTTCTGCACAAAATGACAAAAAAAAAAAAAAGCACAATAAAACTGCAGATATGTTGACACAAAAATATTTTGTAATGATATGAGCCGACAGGATGGACGAATTTATGATGAGGAGACTAGAAGAAGTGTGAAGATCAAAGGAAACGTTAAAGCTTATCTTTGAGATCACCATGGTAACCACATCCGCAGAATCTACCTGTCCACTCGTCACATTTTAATTTTGTTTCTGCGGAGGTTTGTGTTGGAGATACGACAACATTTTAAGAATTTAACGAGAAAACTGTGTGTGACCTCTGACCTACAGCAGAAGAAGAAAGAAACGCCAACGATCCCGTGGAGAAACTGTAGAAGAAGAGTAAAAGTTGTGGAAATAAGAAGCTGACGTGTTAGGATGTCAGAACTGGATCATTTGTAAATCCTCGAACTCAACCCGAGATTGTTCAGAAACCTCAAAACCTATTTAAAAGATAAAAAGTGACGTGTCTGACTGACGGTTCTGCTGGACTCAGTTTATCTAAATGACTTAAATAGATTAAACAGCTGACGTCTGTTTACGTCTTTGACTCTTCAGAAACTTCTGGTTTTACCCGGCAGCGTCTCTCTCTGCTCATCTGGGGTCAGAAGCTGAAGAGTTGGGATTCCTCTGGGCTTTGTTGCCATTTTCATTTTTATTTTACGAAGCAACGCTCCAAAAAAAAACGAGGAAATGTGAAGCAAACAGAAAATAATGACATGAGGTGAAATCTGTCTTATATTGTCTTCATGAGGCGCCCTCCTTTATGAAATGTTTAATTTTTAAACACATTTTATTCACCTTCCTGCTGCCCTGGGGTCAAAATATTTCTTCAGGACTTCGTTTTAAAACAGAAGCCTTGCCATTTTGAGCCCATGGCAGCAGGAGTGGTGTAATAAAAAATAAATCAACCCTGAAAAGTTTAAACTCAACAGGTTAACAGTTCGACCCAGAAGACTCCATGAGCCCTCCTGCTGCCATTGGGTCAAAATAACCCACAAGGTCTCACTGTTAAAACTGAGGCCTTGAGTCATTTTGACCCCATGGCAGCAGGAAGGTTTTGTTAAAATGAATAATGTGTTGAATTAGAGTGACTAATAAGTTTAGTTTTAAAAACAACACAGGTATTGGACCGTTTCAGCTTCGGTTGGTGTCAGCTAGCTGATGCTAACCATTATTAGCAACAGTTGGCTGGTGCTAAC